TTGGTGGAGGGACAGACATGTTAATCAACGGAACAGAACACAGAACCCAGAAATAACCACACACAAATATGTCCAACTGAGGCACGCCTGGCTGGCTCAGTCGGTCGAGTGTACAACTCTTGATCTTGGGGGTGGGAGTTCGAGCCCCACGCTGTTAAGTATGGAGCTTACTTAAAAAAAAAAAAAAAATGCCCAACTGATATCTGACGAAGGTGCCAAGGCAACTGAACAGAGGAAAGACAGCCTTCTGGACAAATAGTATTAGGGAAAGAAGACGTGCATGGGGAAAACAGACGGCAGCAGAAAACTCAGTGTAAGTCTCATACCTTATACAAAAACTAACCCAAGTGGATCGTGGTCTTACACGTGAAACCTAAAACCATACAACATTTAGGGAAAAAAACACAGGAAAAAATTTTTCAGAATCTAGAGCAAACAACAGATTCAACGCCAAAAGCACAAGCTCTAAGAGGGAAAACCGCGCTGGACGCCCTCAAAGCTGAAACCTTCCGCTCTGCCGAAGATCTGCTTAAAGATGCAAAGGCTCAACTGTACTTCCGTAAATCCTTCTTAAAAGATGGACAGACAAGCCACAACTGGGAGGAAAGACTTGCAACCACATACCCGACAAAGGACTAGTATCTAAAATACAACAAGAAGGGGCGCCTGGGTGGCTCAGTCGGTTAAGCATCCGACTTCAGCTCAGGTCACGATCTCGCGGTCCGTGAGTTCGAGCCCCGCGTCGGGCTCTGGGCTGATGGCTCAGAGCCTGGAGCCTGCTTCTGATTCTGTGTCTCCCTCTCTCTCTGCCCCTCCCCTGTTCATGCTCTGTCTCTCTCTGTCTCAAAAATAAATAAACAAAAAAAAAAAAATTAAAAAAAAATAAAAATAAAAAATAAAATAAAATACAACAAGAAGTCTTAAAACTCAACAGTTAAAACACACGCACTCAACCTAATTAGAAAATAGGCAAAAGTGATATTTCACCAAAAAGGATATACAGAGGGCACATAAACACATGAAAACTATGTTCTAGGAGCGCCTGGGTGGCTCAGTCGGTTAAGCGTCCAACTTTGGCTCAGGTCATGATCTCACGGTCCGGGAGTTTGAGCCCCGCATCAGGCTCTGTGCTGATGGCTCGGGGCCTGGAGCCTGCTTCGGGTTCTGTGTCTCCCTCTCTCTCTGCCCCTCCCTGGCTCGTGCTCTGTCTCTCTCTCATTCGTAAATAAATAACTAAATAAACATTAAAAAAAATTTTTTTTAAAGCTGGTGAGGATGCAGAGAAACTGGACCACTCATGCACTGTCCGAGGAATAAGAAATGGTTCAGCCATTCTGGAAGAGTTTCTTAAAAACATACATGTGCAACCAGCATACGACCCACCAGTTGTCTACCTGGGCTTTTATCCCAGCAAACTCAAACTTAGGTCCACACAAAAACCTGTTGCACAAGTGTTTATAGCAGCTGTATTCAAAATTCACCCCACGCTGGAAACAATGCAGACATCCTGAGAAGACTGAAAGGTGTACACCCTGCGGTCCAACCTTGGATGGACTACTACTCAGTGGTTTGAAAGAACAAACTACTTGTCCACGCTAGAACCTGGGTGCATCTCCAGGGAAGGAGCCGGTCCCCAAAGGTTACATATGGTGTGGCTTCATTTATAAAGCATTCCTGAAATAACACCACCTGTAAAGATGGAGAAGAGATTAGTGGTTGCTGGGGGTTAAGCAGCAGGTAGGGTGGCTCTAAAAAGGCAGTATGAAAGTTGCCAGTGGTTATGGAAATATTCTATAGATTCACTGCAGTGATGTCTATATCCTGTTCTACAGTTTTGCAGAGTACTACTGGGGGAGAGTGAATAAGGGATACACAGGATCTCCGTATTATTTTACATGAATCTAAAATCATCCCAAAATAAAAAGTTTAACTTTATGGTGCCTGGGTGGCTCAGTTGGTTAAGCGTTCAACTTCCTCTCAGGTCACGATCTCACGGAGCATGAGTCTGAGCCCCACATCAGGCTCTCTGCTGTCAGCCCAGAGCCTGCTTTGGATCCTCTGTCCCCCTCTCTCTCCACCCCTCTCCTGCTGGTTCGGTCTCTCTCTCTCTCTCCTTCTCCCTCTCTCCCTCTGTCAAAATAAACAAATCAACTTAAAAAGAAAAAGTCTGGGGCGCCTGGGTGGCTCAGTCAGTTAAGCATCCGACTTCAGCTCAGGTCATAATCTCACAGCTTGCAAGTTCAGGCCCCGCGTTGGGCTCTGTGCTGACAGCCCGGAGCCTGGAGCCTGCTTCAGATTCTGTGTCTCCCCCT